TCGAGGGTGCTTGACCATTTTAACACAACGTGGTGCGATCATCCCCCTTGCGCGGAGCGAGGGTTCTCCACCCCGCACAACATGATCTACTCGACCACCATTATGGTTACCGCCAAAAAAAAAACCGGAGGTAAAAAAAAAAACGGTAACCTGGTTGCCGAGTTCACGAAGTGAATTGGCTTGTTTTACAACGTCTTTGCCAAGCGACGAAAACCCAACCCCGATGGCAAACACCGGGGGGGGTGGCTTGTTTTACAACGTCTTTGCCAAGCGACGAAAACCCAACCCCGATGGCAAACACCGGGGGGGAGGGGGGCTTTGCACAAGGGGGGGGGGATATTCGGGGTCACACGCAAGGCTGGCAGAGAGACAAGCATCTCATGTACCACGAGATCCGCGTGTGTGGTACATGATTTGTGATTTGTGTTCGGTTTGCAATGGACGCCGTGACGGAGACATGGCACATTCCACGCGTGGTAACATCTTTGCAGTGGCCGAACGCGAAGACCCCTTCCCACCCTCACCAACTCCCCCACGTATTCTCACGGTTGGCACCCACTGGAGACACATACAAGCACGTCCGTATATACGTGATTGCCGAGATCCCCCGCCCCCCATCTTCAACATTACGTAATACCCTCCCCTCCCACCACCGCTTAACACGCCTTCCTGCTTGACAACGCAACCAGATTGAGATCAAGATGGCACAGGGGGCGAAGCCGGGAGAGGGGGGGCAGCTCCCGGGGCCCAAGATCTCCGAGTACATCGCATCCCTGAGGGCCTCGAAACCCGGGGTTACTCTCATCTCGCCCCCGCCTCACCACGACATCTACTCCATCGAGGACCTGTCCCAGCTCATCTTTGACCTTCACCAGATCAACCCTCATGCCGGGGTTAGCGTAAAGCTGGTGAGAACGAGGAACGAGGACGACGAGAAGGGGGTTAGGAGGATGTGCGGGGAGGGGGGGGAGAGACACGCACAGGGGCACATGTGTAGTCGGGTACACGGTATACGAAAGTCAGTCTCCGGCCGGCTGGGATTTTGTTTTTTATCTCTTGACAGTAATGTGCCTGCAACAACCCTAGTGCCTTTGACTTTTTCTCGGAGTGTTGTTCTTCTACACAACAGGCGTGCACTCTCCGCGGCCATGAGGAGTTATGTGCTGCTGTGTCGTACCTACGCTTCCCTTCCTTGCCTTTGTCTTGGAAATCGTCCCACTAGAAGTAGATCCCAACCATGAGTGTGCGTGCAACAAAACCCGACCGGTTCGGTCCCGCGCAGGTGTCCGAGGTGGGGATCGGGACGGTGGCTGCGGGAGTCGCCAAGGCCAACGCCGACGTGATCCAGGTGTCCGGGCACGACGGCGGCACGGGGGCGTCTCCTCTGTCCTCGATCAAGCACGCTGGTTCGCCGTGGGAGCTGGTGCGTGCGTGCGTGTGTACGTGGATGCCACTCCCTCTGTCAAGTACTATTCGTTTTGTTCTTTGGTCGTCCCATTGATCCTATCAAACGCCGGCCTCTTACACATTCCGCTACTATCTCTGGACGCACCAGCCGGGGTCATACAGGAAGAAGGCCACACACGAGTTCGGTGCAACTCCAGAGAGTATTTAGTGTCCTTTTTTGTGTCGGTGTTTTTTTTTTTTTGGTTGGTGCGTGCCCTCTCCTCCAATCCTCCAAGGAGTCGAAACCTTGTTCCCTTCAATTCAGAGATTTACTATCTACCACCACCGTGTTGGCAGCTGTTGATATCTCACCTTTTTTTTTGTAGTTGATATCTTTCTGTCTGTTTTTTTTTGTAATGGATATCTTTCTGTCTGTTTTTTTTTGTATGTACGGTACGACATGATCAGTGCGTCCTGCACAAACCACATTTCGTGCCCGAACAACAGGGTCTCGCTGAGGTGCACCGTGTTCTGCTGGACAAGCAACCTGTCTCTTCTCTGTTCCGTCTGCCCAAGAACAATACCCAATCCTGTTTGCCACGTGGCTTACTCATACAGCTGGTACACAACCTATCTGTATGATTCACCACAACAATTAAGCCCGCTTGATTGTTGCCCGAACGACAGGGTCTCGCCGAGGTTCACCGCACTCTGCTGGACAACAAGCTGCGGGATAGGGTCCTGCTCCGCACGGACGGCGGCATCAAGACCGGCTGGGACGTGGTCATCGCCGCTCTCATGGGGGCGGAGGAATTCGGGTGAGAAAGAAAGAAGCCCAACAAGCAGAGAGTGCCCCGAGCAGTCAGTAAATGGCATGAACAAGCGCACTGCTGTTGTTTGAGACGAAAATACCGTAGTCAGCAGTGGACGCATGTAGAGGGGCGTGGCGTGAACTAGCACAGCAAGAAGTAGTACACGAGCAAGAGGCAGGAAGGTCACGGCAGGAGGAAGCACACCTGCTGTTCTTGTGAGGGCGTTTTGAGCAAGCAGCACGCGTGCCGAAGAAGCTAGTTCCGCTCAGTCTTGCGGTGGTTTGCCTTTTCTTTCACGCCTTTGTCATGGTATTGAAACCCTTGGTCTAAGATACCATCTGGGCGGGGGTATCTTGCAGACATACACCGACCACCTGTTCAAGACTCTTTTGTATTCCGAGCTCATGCAAGCAGCGGAACAAGGGTTGCCAGCAGCAGCAGCAAGCAGTGTACGCGCCTTCCCCCCTGCCTAGGATTGAGCGATAGCGAGCGACGGGAAAGAAGGAGAGATGGAGTAAAAAGGACTGAAACGGAGCCGTCATCCCGCGCACAATGGTCTGATCCGATCCACGCTTGGCTCAATCTCGTCACACTTGGCTATTCTGCAGGACAACGCGAGCGTGCGGACGACGCCAAGTGTGATGAGCCTAGGCAGTGTCGATCGGATCCGACCACCCTGTGTGCACGTTAGCTTCTCCGTTTCAGTCCAATTCCCTTTTAACTTCGTCGTTCCTGTCTAGGTCGCCCGCTATCGCTCACTCGGTAGGCAACGCTGACCAAGAGGGAACGCGCATACACTGCTTGCTGCTCCTAAATTGCAACCATTGTTCGGCTGCTTGCATGAACTCAAAATAGTCTAGGCAGGTGGTCGGTGTATTTCTGCAAGATGTACCCGCCCGCCCGCCCGCCCAGATTATATCTTTGTCTTAAGGGTCTAAACACAACGACGCTAGCCAACCCTGAGAGGAACTATACGCATCGGCTAGAACACGAAGAGGGGGTAGCAATCCATCCAAGGGTTCAGATCTAGAGTCGAGGAAGCGAACATCACGAACCTTTCCCACACCTCTATGTAGAGTGCTAGAGAGCAACGCTCTCGGGCAGGGCAGCTTCAAAGTAGGTGAACAGCTAAGGCAGGCCAATATAAGCTACAGCAGCCAGGAAAACAGGTTGCATCCAGCATATCGAGATGAGAAAATCGCCTGGTGACAAGTTCAGCGGGAGACCGGAGAGAGTGTGGGCTTGCACCGGCTTCAGGTGTACCTGTATCACTACGTCGTTCGTTCGGGAGGAACTGGGAAGAGGTTAGGGCGGGTTATCAGTGTGAGCAGATAACACTGCAGCAAGAGGAAGAGTGAAGAGTAAAAGGAGGAAGAACGAAGAGCAACAAGAGGAAGAGTGAAGAGTAACAAGGTTAAGGTTAGGTCATCACAGCAGGAGTATCACAGCAGGAGTTGCAGCAAAGGTACATTTCTCGTTCCGGCGTTTCGTCGTGGTGTGTTGTGTTGTGTTCAATCCCTCCCCTTTCGTAGAGACCCTTCCGACTAACATTCCTACGCAGACACAAGCGTTCAAGCCCTCTCCGTCTTTGTTTCTTGAAGACACATGCGGACAGACGCAATCCGCTGACGAAAGCTGCCTTTTTTTGGTTCTCTGCTGCCTTTTTTTTGGGGGGGAATAAAATCGAATCCAAGGTTCGGAACGATCGCCATGATCGCGGAGGGCTGCATCATGGCGCGCATCTGCCACACGAATAACTGCCCCGTCGGCGTCACCACCCAGAAGGAGAACCTCCGCAAGAAATTCCCCGGGACCCCCCAGAACGTGGTCACCTTCTTTGAGGTATCTATGTTGTAGAGAATTAGCATGCGATTGAAAAGGGTTGCAGTTTTTCGTGCAAGTGTTGGTATGACAACCTCAGATTGTTGGTGATAGTGTCATGTCGTCGCCCGAGGAGACACGAATGTCATGAGAGAATTTGCGGTGTGTTCAATGCTGTGACAGTCTCCAGATTGTTGGTGATGGCGTGACGTTTTGCTCGAGGAGACACAAGTGTTGTATTTCAGAGTGTATCGGAAGGGGTTTGCAGTTTGTTGATACAAGTCATGCTGTGACAACTTGAGATTGTTGGTTACGGTGTGGTGTTGTCGCCCGAGGAGATACGAATGTCACATAAGGTATTTAAGGTGTGTTCATACAATTCATGCTGTGACAATTCTTCAGATTGTTGTTGGTGATGGTGTGATGTTTCGCTCGAGAAGACACGAATGTCGTAAAGTGTTTGCGGTGTATTGATACCAGTCATGCTGTGACAACTTGAAATCGTTGGTGATGGTGTGATGTCGTCTCCCGATAAGGTGCGCGTGTCGTACAGTATTTGCGGTGTATTCATACAAGTATTGCTATGGCATCTTCGGATTGTTGGTGATGTTGTGATGTCGTCGCCCGAGGAGACACGATGGGGCCAAGCGCCGCACGCGAGGCTCCCCCGTCACACGGCGGCGCCGTAGAAGTAGAACACCGACGTTCGATGTAGCGGCTATGTTGACGGTCGGTTACACACGTCCGTTGGGGGATAGAAAGAACAGCAGAGAATACGTTTAAGCTGCCTAATCCCGTGTTCGAGGTGCCCTAGAATGCGAACGTTTGTTTAACCCCCCGCCCTCCTCCCGGTGTTTGCCATCGGGGTTGGGTTTTCGTCGCTTGGCAACGACGTTGTAAAACAAGCCACTTCACTTCGTGAACTCGGCCACCAGGTTACCGTGTTTTTTTTTTACCTCCGTTTTTTTTTTTTGGCGGTGATGTGGGCACCACATGTCAGTATATAAGGCTTGGGGCACCTTATCTCGTGTCGGGCAAATACCCTTTTTACAGTGGCGTCAGCGGCAGGATGTCATCTCTGCAATGTCAAAGTCCCGGGTTCGAATCTTGGCACGTGAGAATGGGGTTTTTGTCCGCCGCCAGCCGGTCGGGTTCCGGTTACCGTACATGCTACGGGGGGTGCGTCGTGGGACCCGCGTATTTGTCTACGATGATGAGCTGTCCGCTCGCTCGTATCCGGGGGGGTATGTGGGCACCACATGTCAGTATATAAGGCTTGGGGCACCTTATCTCGTGTCGGGCAAATACCCTTTTTACAGTGGCGTCAGCGGCAGGATGTCATCTCTGCAATGTCAAAGTCCCGGGTTCGAATCTTGGCACGTGAGAATGGGGTTTTTGTCCGCCGCCAGCCGGTCGGGTTCCGGTTACCGTACATGCTACGGGGGGTGCGTCGTGGGACCCGCGTATTTGTCTACGATGATGAGCTGTCCGCTCGCTCGTATCCGGGGGGGTATGTGGGCACCACATGTCAGTATATGAGGCTTGGGGCACCTTATCTCGTGTCGGGCAAACACCCTTGTTACAGTAACCATAATGGTGGTCGAGTAGATCATGTTGTGCGGGGTGGAGAA